CAGAGGAAATGAAGATGAATGCCATCGCCTCGGAAATGTCAAAATCCTCAGCTCCGGCTAATTGAGCAGAGGAGCAGTGGGTAGATGCAGTTCATATTTCCGAGCTCTAGGGATTGCTTTAGGAGCTCTGGTGCCAAGGCGCATGGCTCACGCTGTCCCTTGGGTGACCTTCCACGGCTCTGCCTCCCTCCTGGCTAACGAGGGATGATCATCTCTCACTTAACACGGTTGCTCTCTGCCAAACCTAAGCTTTGCTTTCTCAAGTGCGGAGCCTGCCAAGACTCAGCTTGGTTCTCCAGGATTTGCAACAAAAGGGGAATCGGGTTTCTCATGGGATCCAGAACCTGGCCTGGCTTTCACCCACCCCAGTGCAAATTTGGGGCTCTTCCACCCACCCCGAGGGGGACAGATCCCAGGAGAGACCTGAACCAGGTCACAAGCCAGGACTTCATCCGTGCGCTGCTTTTATTGAGGTGATGCCATCAAACTCTGACAGGGACACGTTCAGGTGTTGCACCTGCGTATTGCTGGAGTAATGCCACCGGGCTACTTGTCTTTCTGTTGGCAAGGCTCCCTCCCACCCCGCTTCCATGCACTTACATTTCCTGAATTGCAAAAAATAGAGATGGAAAGATCTTTTACATCACTTTCTCCAACCCTCACGGGCTGTGAAGTGGCTACCGCAGGACACCGCGGGCTTTGGCCAGCTTTATCCTGCATGGATGATCTCAACATCACAGAGCTTCTGTGACCAGTCCTGGGGAATAAGCAGTGAGAAGCCAAGAGCAAACACAGGTCACAGCCAGGAAAATATTCCTAATGCACATTCTTCACGTCCACTTTCCAAATACCAGCCTGGCATCTCCAGTAACACTGCGTTCGCTCTGCCACTAGCGGTTAAGGCTCACCTCCTTGCCCAGTTCGTTACGGGGCCGATCTCATCCCCCCCCCACTTAGGACGTGATACAGGTGTTACAGAGAGCAGCAGAGGAGACAGGGGCTCCACCGCGACCAGCGGGACAGAGGAAGAGACAGACGTCGCTGCCCAATGCGATGCCGCCACATGAGGTCCCAGCCAGCGCCTATCGTCTCCCGTGAGACGTCCTCTTCCAGTCCCTCTCCAGGCACATGCTTTAACCACCCGCATCCCTCAGCATTCACCAAGCTGCCTCGCACCCCAGGAAGAACGACATTGGAGATGCCAGCTGACAGGTTTCTCCCATGGTGGAGACGTCTGCCTGTTCTTCTAATTCAGCCCAGAGATCCTCTCCCGTGATCATCTCCCCTAGTACCAGCATCCTGGGCTACAGAAGTTTAAGACCCCCAGCGCTGAAGCTCTGTCTTAATTTTTATTGCTGTTTTTTTCCTCCTGAACCAAACCCTTCTCCTTTCTGAATCATTTCTGCACTCTGGCTGTCCTCAGACCAAGTCAGGCCTCATGCCACTGATTAAAAAATAAAATAAAATGCTTTTTCCATTCCATGTGCAGTCAGCCAAGGCCAAGTTAGCCGGAAAAAGTTCTAATTTTGTTCGTGCTGCTACTGTGACTCCACATGGACCCCAGACCCCCACAGGAGAGGGGACAGGTTACATCTAATCCTCCCCCACCCATGAATTCTGCTTCTGAATTTCCTAAGTCTTCCTTCACTCGCTCCGGTCTCTCTTCTTTTTGTAAAAACAAACCAAAAAAATGAACAGCACTAACATTTGAAAAAAAACCCCACATTTTTGCTCTTAATCTGGCCCCCTGGCTGTGGAAGAGCCTGTTGCTGCTGCCAGTAGCTCCTTTAGGTTGAACAGCGCAATGCTGCGCTGCGTTGGAGAAGGTCCCGTGCGGTTACTGTGCCACAATAAATCACGCCAGCACGTCCCTAAAAACTTGCCACATCAGTCCCGATGGGAACCGGTGCCCTCTCCTTTCATTATTTTTAAATCATTATTTTTAAAGCCTATTTCATCCCTCTCTGTAAATACGTTATTTGGGAATTTCTCGGTTTTAAGAAACTCTCGTAGCTTCTCCCCCCCCCCCATCATCGCTGAAAGGACGTGGGCAGAGTGCGAGAGCATCACTGCTCCGAGGGTTCTTTTCCCTTTTGCTCCACTGAACTTTTTCCGACGGTACCACGCGTCTGGGGCTGCGCGGAGGCCACCAGCGCTGCATGGCCCGATTTCCAACAGGTGTCCCTATGCCACGGTGGGAACGGCAATTTAAACAGCTCAGCCAAGTCAGGAGCTCTATTTAGAGGTAGGCAGAAATTACAGTAACAGGCCCATGCCCACTTGCTCCCCCTGACAAATACACACGTGATGTTTCCCCTAATTTCTTTCATTTGGGACAATAATTAACCAGAGCCTGCAGGAGGGTGTCGTTTCTCAGTTCCTGCTTTTGCTCAAATTGCCTTGAAACTGAAAGCAGTGTGAGTACCCACAGCTCTGTGTGCTTTAGGATGAGCTCATGCTTTAATTAGAAACTGTTATTTGGGGGGGGGGCACAATTTGGGGATGGTAAATTACAGATTTTCTGCTGTAAGCAGCCAAGTCACTGTGAGCTAACGTAGGGGAGGCTTTAAACAGAGATGGTTGAGATGTGATGTTTGTTGCTTGCACTACCAGACTAAAAAATTCCTGGCCCTTTCTGCAGTCCCTTAAAAAACAAAACAAAACACCCCCCCCCAAAAAAAAAACAAACAAACAAACCCAAAAAGAACGAAATTCAATTAAAATAAAACGAAGAAGCACGATCGATTTGCTAAATCAGCTGGTTTGGAAGCAGGCTGTCCTTGACTAGGAGAAAAGAAACTGCACTCCCGATATTGGGATGCGCACGGGTGCGTCCGGGGGACCCCTGTGCCGCCCTCCAGCCCCCGACTCTCGGGAGGGGGGGGGGGGAGTGAAAATTTAGGCAGCCAATGTAACAGCACCCGGCCTCTCCTCCGACTCCCCCGCCGGGCTGCCCCCCAGCTCCAGCCATGGGGGTGGCCGTGGGTTTATATCTTGTATCTTGATGAATAAAGAGGGAGAGGGGAGGGGGGAGTGGAAATTTAGGCAGCCAATGTAACAGCACCCGGCCTCTCCTCCGACTCCCCCACCCCAATCAAAACCTCCTTTGCATTTCCATGGCCTAAGGGGGCTTGCTCTTTTTGAGAAAGAAACGTCTAAAACCGCTGGTTGGCGGCGGGGAAGGATGGGAAGGGGG